TCGAAGGTATACCTGTTCCCCAATGTTCATCGCAGCACTCTTTACAATAGCCAAGAGTTGGAACCAGTCCAAATGTGCATCATCAGATGAGTGGATACGGAAACTGTGGTATATCTACACAATGGAATACTACTCAGCTATAAAAAAGAATGAAATACTGCCATTTGCAAAGATGTGGATGGATCTAGAGAGAATTATATTAAGTGAAACAAGTCAGGCACAGAGGGAGAAATTTCACATGTTCTCACTTATTTGTGGGAGCTAAAAAGAAATAATATACACAAAAAATGGGGGGTGGGTGGGTGGGAAGAAGACATAACAATTACAACTCTTTGAAGTTGATAGGACAAGCAAACAGAAAGGACATTGTTGGGAGGGAGGGGAGAGAGAGAGGAGGGAGGGAGGTTTCAGTATTTGGCCACAATAATCAACCACATTGTATATTGACAAAATAAAAATAAATAAATAAAAATTGAAAAATGTATTTCCTGAATATATTTATTTATTTATTTATTTGTTTATTTGTTTGTTTGTTTGTTTGTTTGTTTAATGGAAAATGTGGTATATCTACACAATGGAATACTACTCAGCTATAAAAAGGAATGAAATACTGCCATTTGCAAAGACATGGATGGACCTAGAGAGAATTATATTAAGTGAAACAAGTCAGGCACAGAGGGAGAAATATCACATGTTCTCACTTATTTGTGGGAGCTAACAATAAATAAAATACACAAAAAAGGGGGGTGGGTGGGTGGGAAGAAGACATAACAATTACAATTCTTTGAAGTTGATAGGACAAGCAAACAGAAAGGACGTTGTTGGGAGGGAGGGGAGAGAAAGAGGAGGGAGGGAGGTTTCAGTAATTGAAACCACAATAATCAACCACATTGTATAATGACAAAAATAAATAAAAATAAAAAATAAAATGTATTTCCTGAATCAAAAAATATATATATATATTTATTTATTTATTTATATTTATATTTATTGGGCCGGCCCCATGGCTCACTCGGGAGAGTGCGGCTCTGGTAGCACCGAGGCCATGGGTTCAGATCCCATATAGGGATCACCGGTGCGCTCACTGGCTGAGTGTGTGTGCACCACACCATGCCAAGGGTTGCGATCCCCTTACTGGTCAAAAAAAAATATGTATATATTTATATATATATATATATTTTTCAAGCAAGACTTTTATGAAGACATCTCTATTTTTTCCAGAAAGAAAAACATAGTAGTGATTGCTTTTTATTAAAGTTGATAAAAGAAATAAAATGTGATCATCACATACAAAGTTCTGGTCTTTGGTCACCAGGGACGGCTGTGCCTTGGGACTTGATGTGAGAATTCTGAGGTTGTTGTCATGTGGTCTAGCAGGACAGAAAGGAAACCAGGTGATAATGTCCAAGTATCAGAGGGGAGTCAGCTAAATGTTGTTTTCATCAAAGTTCACATTCAGCTGAGCAATCAAAGGGGGGAAGGCTAGAAGGGCAGTGTTTTTCATAATCTAGAGATTAACATCACGTGTATATAGAAATTTTTGTCCTTATACTTGTTGCATTTCTAGATTGCCATGTAACACAGGGATGAATTTTTTAAATGGCAATTAGTTTTTACTAAAGAGATTTTAAAATGTATTTAATTTATGGATATGTAATTACATTTTAGTTGATTACACTGATAGATGGTCAGAAATGGAGATTTAGTTAATGATTGAGAGGGCATGAAGAAGTGGCTCTTCTTAAAGCTGTCATGTTTATTGAAAAAATTCTTAAGATCAAACCTGTGTTGGTTGAAAATCTCTTTAATGTCATTAAAGACAGAGGAGAGAAATGGAAACACATTTGTACCCTAAAACCAAGAAAATCTCATAGTTAACAAGGGAGCTTCTTTCCTTAGAGCCCGGAATCAATTGTTAGATGATAAAATAAATAACACATTATGACTCTCAGTGGAATGGCTTTATTCCAACCGTTTGAATCAACACATTCACTGTGTCTTTTGAAGAAACAGTTCTGAAAGGAATAACACATTTTTGCAACCAGGAGACAGTGATGTGAAGTCACATGTGCAGAACTCTGGTCCAGCGGATAAATGTGAACTAGACCCTCAGGGTTCCTTGGCATTTACACTCTGTGATCAGAGACGCTGAGACACACCTTGGAACCACCTTCACACCTAACCCTAACCCTAACCCCTACCCCTAACCCCTAACCCCTAACCCTAACCCCTAACCCTAACCCTAACCCTCTTAACCCTAACCCTAACCCTCTTAACCCTTACCCTAACCCTAACCCTTGCCCTAACCCCTAAACCCCAACCCCAACCCTGTCCCTTGCCCTAACCCCTAACCCTAACCCTGTCCCTTGCCCTAACCCTAACTCTAACACTAATCCTAACCCTGGCCCTAACCCTAACCCTGGCCCTAACCCTAACCCTGGCCATTGCCCTGACACTGGCCCTGGCCCTAAACCTGGCCCTTGCCCTGGCCCTAACCGTTGCCCTGGCCCTGGTACTATCCCTGGCCCTAAGCCTAACCCTAACCCTAATCCTAACCCTGACCCTAACCGTGGCCCTGACCCTGGCCCAGAATTTGACCCCGACCACGAACCTGACACTGACCATGGCCCTGGACCTGGCCCTGACCCTGGCCCTAACACTAGCCTTAATCCTGGCACTGGCCCTTAGCCTGGCCCTTGCCCTGGCCCTAACCCTTACCATGGCCCTGGCCCTGGCCCTGGTACTATCCCTGGCCCTAAGCCTAACCCTAACCCTAACCCTAAACCTGGCCATAACCCTGGCCCTAACCACTGGCCTTGCACTGGCCCTGGCCTTAACGCTGGCTCTAACCCTGGCCCTGGCCATAACCCTAACACCCTAACCCTGACTCTAAACCTGACGCTAACTTTGACCCTGAACCTGAAACTGACACTGGCCATGACCCTGGGTGTGACCCTGACCTGGGCCCTGACCCTAGCCCTAAACCTGGCCCTAACCCTAACCCTGGCCCTAAACATGGCCCTGGCCATTACCCTAACCCTGATCCTAATCCTAGACCCAACCCTGGCCCTACACCTAAAACTAAACCTAACCCTATCCCTAACCCTAACCCTGGCCCTAACCACTGTCCTGGCACTGGCCCTGGCCTTAACGCTGGCTCTAACCCTGGTTCTGGTCCTAAACCTGGTCCTGGCCATAAACCTAACACCTACCCTAACCCTGGCCCAAAACCTGACGCTAACTTTGACCTTGACCCTGGCACTGACACTAGCCCTGACCCTGGCCCTGCACCTGACCATCATCCTGACCATGACCCTGTCCCTGGCCCTGACCCAGGCCCTGTCCCTGGCGCTGGTCCTGGCCCTACCCCTGGACCTAAACCTGGCCCTAACACTAATCCTAACCCTGACCCTAACCCTAACCCTTGCCATGTCCCTGGCCCTGGCCCTGGCCCTGGCCATGGCCCTAAACCTGGCCCTGGCCCTGGCCCTACCCCTGGACCTAAACCTGGCCCTAACCCTAACCCTAAACTTAACACTAACCCTAATGCTAACCCTGGCCCGGCCCTAAACCTGGCCCTGGCCATGGCCATTACCCTACCCATGATCCTAACACTATCCCTAACCTTGGCCCTACCCTTGGCCCTAGAACTAAACCTAAACCTAACTGTAACACTTACTCTCACCCTAACACTAACCCTAACCCTGGACCTAACCCAAACTCTAACCCTCACCCTCACACACACTCAACCTAACCCTTACCCTTACTCTAACCCTAACCCTAACCCAACTCCAACCCTAACCATAACACTAACGCTAACCCTAACCCTCACCCTCACCCTCACCCTCAGGGTAATAAGCTTGGGTGGCGTCACCTTTTCTGAGGTCTCATGCTGCACGGTGACTGCATTACTATGAAACAATCCGTGGTCGTCACATCCCAGGGAAGGGAAGCTGGCGGGCCCCTCCAAGGCAACCCCATCCACCAGCAGTAGTTGGAGAGCATCGGTGGCCATGGTCATTCTCGTTCACCCCCATACCTACCGGTAAATGGGCAGAACCCTGTGCTTTGGCTATCTGTTTTCTGCTGTCAGTCTGCAGTCTCAAAGGTGAGACAGGAGGTCAGGATGGCCCGGCAGTGAGCAGCAGGAACCCTTCCTCTTGCTGAATTAGACACGCTTCACCAGAATGGAGCTCAGGTGTATCCAACCCTCCCGGTGTGTTGGGTGTGTCCATCTCCGCGTCCATGAAATCCACCCATCCATCCACACACTGACGTTTTATCTTGTGTCGTCTTAATCGACATCGTCACTGTGATTCACGGAACCCCCAATAGCAATATCACCCACACGATTGACACAGGTTCCAGACGCGCATGTTCGCTTTTTCGTTTTATGGCCATCTGTCAGGTTTGACGTCTGTACACATCCCATCCGAGAGAAAGCACCGCCCTCCGTTCCCACCCAGAAAGAAACACGCACCAAGCCAAGGTGTACTTTCGTTTTATGGCCATCTGTCAGGTTTGACGTCTGTACACATCCCATCCGAGAGAAAGCACTGCCCTCCGTTCCCACCCAGAAAGAAACACGCACCAAGCCAAGGTGTACACGGAGAGGAGACGGGCCCCCAACGATCCTCAGCCCCGACCAGGAGAGGGCCGGACCGGAGAGTCCGGGGGGCCGGAGCCATCCAGAAAGCTTGCATACACATGCCATGCCTCAGGCAAAGGTGGACCAGATGAACTCCAAGTACCCGCAGCACCGGCATCGGTTCGGTCCCGGTGGCACAGTGGCCACCCCTTCCTCGGGAGCAGGGACGCCTGGTCCGGCCTGCTGCACACAGCACGGTCAGCCTCACCCTTTCTGGCAGATGACGGTCAGGGTGATGACGATGGCAAAGTGCCCTGGGGAAGATCACAGGAGAGGAAGTTTTCAGATTCAGGGTTTCAGACAGAGGCTGCAACGTGGGTCCGGGGCCGTCGGGTACTCGGCAGAGCGGGAGAGCTGTGATAGGGCGACCCCCCACTTTCATAACATACACAATTCACTTCTGTAAAACTGCTCGCTGTGTGACAAGGTAGATCGATGAAGTTCAAATAGCATTTTAATTGCTTAGAAGACGGTGTTGTTTGAAAATCCCCCACCTGGGGGCCAGCCCGGTGGCGCACTGGATAAGTGCGCCGCTTGGGAAGTGCAGTGGCGCTCCCGCCCGAGGGTTCGGATCCCACATACAGACCGGTTCCCGCTCACTCCCCCCCCCCCCCGAAGTTAAAAGCTAAATATCAGACTGCCCTTAGAGGAGTTTTAATTTTGTTTGCTATTCTGCACCCCTTCAAGCTGCCCACAAGCAATCGGATGGCTCGTTTCAGTTTCCGTCACCAGGTAGAGCTAGGCCTCCCCAAACCCCCTCCTCACGCCAGGAGGGTACGCGTGTATGCGTGTGACTATACGATAACTATAAGCGTGTGACTGATAGTTTTAAACGTGTGACCAGTGTAAAAGCGTACCTTTCAACACGACCCCTAAAGTTCGGGTCAGGGCTGTTCTCTTCCAAGACTTTCTTGGAGGGACAGTCGCCAGGCAGGCCCATAACAACCCCCTTTCAATTTCACTCGGGTATTCCGGTTCTTATTCCATGTGTCAGCCTCACAACAGAGCCAAGCGAAATCGTGACCTCACCTAAAATAGAAAAGGGAGGAGTTGGGTGAGCATTCCACTGTTCAAGGCAATCTTTTCAAGGAAGCAGTGTCGCCCCATCTCATGCACGTCCACCGAATGTCGATCCACAACACGTGGCGGGCGAGCAAACTAAGCTGTACAGCCAAAGTGACGACGACGAAAAGAAAAAGCAAACCGAAGCAAAACAAAACAAAAATTGAGCGAACCCCTCCACAGGCCCACAGGGACCCAACACCGCACCTGGGGGTCCCGGAGGTGTCAGGTGGCAGGGTGGCCGGCCAGCTGGTCCACCTGGACGCCTACCTCCACTCCTTCCATCCAACCATCAGTGGGACCCTGGGGACCCCGACTCCCACCTCAGGGTCCTTTGGCAGCACCCCTCCGGTCCGGCCAGCTGGCCAACCTCCATCACGCATGGAAGAGGAGGAGGAGCATGAGGGCACGTGGGCAGGAAACAAAGGGACACAGGCATAGATGGGACTGTGTGACTGACGACCATGCTCCCAGTTGCTGGCACCAAGTGGACCAGGCGGGAGGAGACTGGCACACCAACCACAGAAGGGGGACTGGACCCCCAGCCGCTCCCCATTCAGGCATGTGTGTGGCAGCGGGGCACACCAGCACCCATCAGGCTCCCCTGGCACGGCTGTGATGACCACCGCAGCTGGGGCAATCCACTGGGCAGGGCATGTGTCCAGGGTCACTGCCACCACCGGCACCCCCCAGATGCCCACATCTCCACCAGGGGACCAACCTTTTTCCCTCCAATGGGGGCCCTGCCACCGCACCCTCCCCCCAGCCCGACCCCAGCCCGACCCCAGCCCGACTGACCCACCCTATAGAGCCAATCCGTATCCCGAAGTTACGGATCCGGCTTCCCAACTTCCCTTACCTACATTGTTCCAACATGCCAGAGGTTGTTCACCTTGGAGACCTGCTGCGGACATGGGTATGGCATGGCACGACATTTACAGCCTCTCCCCCAGATTTTCAAGGGCCAGCGAGAGCTCACTGGACGCCGCCAGAAACACGATGCTTCCAAGGTAAGGGCCCCTCTCAGGGTGAACCCATTACGGGACTCTCGGCCCATCACAAAGAAAAGAGAACTCTCCCTGGGGCTCCCACTGGCTTCTCCAGGATTGGTTGCGTTAAAGCACTGGACACCTCAAGGTGATCATCTCTGCCACTCTGGATTCGGGGATCTGAACTCGACTCCCTTTTGATCGGCTGAGGGCAACAGAGGCCATCACCCGTCCCTTTTGAATGGCACTCGCCTGTCTGTCAGGACCGACTGACCCATGTTCAACTACTGTTCACATTGAACCCTTCTCCACTTCGGCCTTCAAAGCTCTCGTTTGAATATTTGTTACTACCACCAAGATCTGCACCTGTGGTGGCTCCACCCGGGCCCGCGCCCTAGGCTTCAAGGCTCACCGCAGCGGCCCTCCTACTCGTCGTGGCGTAGCATCCGCGGGCTGGGGGGGACGGGGCGTGGGGGGCGGGGGAGGGGAG